ATATTTTCTATACTTATGCGATAAAGACTTGAGCTTTTGATATATACCTGACTAGTTTGATCGATAATATAATCACGTGATCCAACAGTCTCGGGCTCATCCCCGTGAAATAATGACGGAAGTCCTGAAAGCCCTGCAAGATTTGAATGTGTGTTGGAAGAAGATAGGGCACTACAACATGAAGTGCAGATGGGTTCCTAACAGCACAGATGGTATGCTCAGTAACTCGATGCACGATAGCAACTACTTTGGAGACGAGTCCAGCATAATAGAGAACGATGCAGCTGTTAAGTCGCCAAATGTTGTCAAGTTTGAAATTCAGGTAAATCCTCTTCTCCACTTCATGATAGCACACATATCGGTTTCCCGCGTACCACATTGTTTCTGATGTGATTTCGAGTGAAATAAAGCTTTGTATTTTAGTGTCCATGGCCATATAGAAACTGACATAGAACTAGAGTCAATCTCTTGAATCTAACTATCAATCAATACTTTCTGGGCTTGATAATGTTTGTTGTTGTTGATGGTGAAACAGTTGTATAAAACTCGGGACGACAAGTATCTACTGGATTTGCAGAGAGTACAAGGTCCTCAGTTCTTGTTCTTGGATCTCTGTGCTGCTTTTCTTGCTCAGCTCCGAGTCCTCTGAATACTAAACCGGACCTCTTCAAGAATAATCCCCGCTTCTTCTTTCTCTTTTCTTCTTCGTCTAAGAAATATTCAGTAAAGTTAGTTTTTTTTTTCTATTCTTGTGCTATACTTAAATAACCTCTTTTTTAACTTAAATGTAAGACGGGACAACTCGAGTAAAAAAAAAAAGAACAACTTTGTACATACATAGCTTGTGGTTCATTATGTCACATATTGATTTTCGTTTTTGTTTTGAAACTCCATATTGATTGGAATCAATACGTTAATGGAGAGACTTTTGACAAAATAAAAAAAACAATAAACGAAAGATATGTAAATTAGTCCTTGAAAAACAATCAGTTTATTAAACAAATAGCATTGTGTTTTATCTTTGTTTTTCTAGTATTTTTATTATCAATGAATCTTTAGTTTACCACTATAATCTTCGATGCGTGAGCAGATTACCCACCCATCACCATTGCGGTATACGTCACTGAGTCAAAGCGTTTTTCCGAAAGTAGTTTATAGTTTTGTTGGATTACAAGTACATTTAGTGTGTTTGCTTAAGATATACTTTTCTACAATAGACATTAGACAATGTTATAGCTTTGAAATGTGGTCAAGAAATGTATTGAAAGTTCAAATATTTATTTTGAAGACCTATAGATTTGATCATTTGAGATAGTAAATCCCCAAATCTTTACTCATGATTGACAATCCAGCAGCCAAAGCTATAAGTTTATGTATATTACGATATTCTTCATAGTTTTCATTTGTGTAAATCTATATTGAATTAAAAACATCACCAACTACTTAATTGAAAAATATCCTACAAAAATATGCAATCAAGTATTTAACTAAATGTCTAAATCTAATTCTCGACTCTTCACTATGCATGTAGTTTACACGCTCGGCTGTGTTGATCTTTAACTAAAAATTAACTTTCAAATTTTTGTTTTTGTTATAAGCATTCATATGTAGGCTTAGGGATTATCTTTTGGGTTAATGAAAAGTTCCCTATTTAATTAATTTATTTATGTATAATTTCAACTAACTAATCTTCTCATTAGGAAAGTTTGAAGAACACATTTGTTACATATCCAAAAAACTAGGGGCTATACAAATTCAAAAACAAGCCCAAAAGAATTTCAAAAGTTTCCAACGTGTGGTTTACCTACCAGTTAATCTTCTCCTGCAAAAAAAAAGCACATCAAAGTGTGTGATAAACTCTCACAAAAATACAAGGAAATTTGTAAAAAAAAATATATACAAAATTATATTTTCGTAAACCTGAAATTGAATAATTTCATACTGACTTGGGCTTTTTTTTTAATGAAAAATTAAACAAATATGGACTACAAATCATGATGGTAGGTAAAAAAATGTATATATCCTTGGCTGAAAATTCTGGTAATTTAATTTGTTTTTCCCCAAATTTTAACCTCTCTCTATTCGTGGTGGTCTTCGAACACCAACTCTAACATCACTTTCAGTCCTCCGTAATATTTCATTCATCCCATTTGTTTGAAAAATCTTCGGATTCGCCCCAAGATTTGTCAAATCCTGCAAGATTTTATCATAATTAAAATTGAATTCCAACTACCGGTTTAGATGGAACCGGGGTTCTATTTGACTTACCGTATCTTCTTCTGTTTTCTTGTGATTCACGCCAGAGAACAACAACACATCAGAAGAGTCCAGAGAAACGTGCGGCCTAAGAAACGGTTTGTCTTCGTTTATCGTTAACCCGAAAGTGTTCTTAGCAAAAGCCATGCTCATCCCACTCACGTGGCTCGCAGATCCTGCGGGCTGGTTATAAGTCAGCGTTGAAGCTACGTCGTTTTCTTTCCTCTTCTTTGTCCCTGCCCATGCGAACCCGCTCGCTGGTGCCGTGGTTTGAGACAAACTGTTGTACGGAAACTCGCTTCGTGTGGTCGCCTGAGACGTCTCTGACGGCGTCTGGACAGCAATTTCCGTTTCGGCTTCCTTCTTTGTTTCCTGCAGAAATAATGAACAAAATTACAAATATCGAACCGGGAAATAGACTCAGCGGTTTATTCCGGTACATGAAACACCAAAATACCTGGTGGGTTGGTAATCTGCTGAGATTTGTAGGCTCTTTGACTGTTCTACGAGATTTACCCAATTTCTTTGTTGCCAAGTTATCTCTTTTCTTGATACTAACTCTTCTCCTGCATAACAAAGTTTCAATCTCTCAACACATGCAACCAAGTATATTTCTACAGAGCTGGCGAAAACCGATTGATTGATACCTTCTTTGAAGTTCTTCGCGGTATTTAGCATCCATTTCTTTATTAGGAGGATACTTAGGTAGTGTCGATGGATCGCAAACATAAGGCTGTGTGTTAAAGTACTGAAGAACAACAACAAACCACAGAGAAGACAAAAGAGTTTCAGCTTATTTGATTAGAGTACATGCTAGGGTTTCGTTTAGTAAGATTTTTTCACCTCTGACATAAGAGCAGAAGAAGCAGTTCCTCGTTTCTCAGGATCAATAGACAATAGACTCTCCAATAGATTAATCGCGGTTTTCGGAAACTCATCAAATCTTTCTCGCAGACAACCCTCATATTGATGTTGTGGTCTAAACATCTTAGTTTGAGGATGAAGTTTGTTCTTTTCCCAGAATTCTTCATCTGGTGATCCAGAGAGTTTATAAATCTTGTGAAGTTGTTCAATCTACAGAGAATTAACACAAATAAAACATTCAGAAAAAGGAGAGCATTTTCTGTGGAATGAATAATATAAATCTATCAGTTTAGTCCCTTTCTCACCTCTGTTCTTCCTTTAAGAAGTGGTCTTCCGGTAAGAATCTCCGCGAAAACACAACCAACACTCCAAAGATCGACTGATACGCTATAACTTGTTGAACCCATTAGAAGTTCTGGTGCACGGTACCATAATGTCACAACTCGACTCGTCAACTGATTCTTGTTTCTTGGTGTTACAATGTTGGCTAATCCAAAATCAGCTAGCTTTAAAACTCCTTTGTTATTCACCAGAATGTTTGCGGCTTTAATGTCTCTGTGCATAATCCCTCGTAGATGACAATGTTCTACTCCCCACAGCAGTTGCTTCATGTAGCATTTGATCTGAAAACGAAATTAGGGTTTGTCAGAATAAAGAAACAGAGTCACTTGCAGGAGAGGTCAGGGTTTTGTGTGTGCGTGTGTCTCTATTGCCTGTGCCTCGGTGAATTTGATGTCGGGAGATGAACATAAGCCTTCGAGATCGTGTTCCATATAATCAAACACAAAGTACATGCTGTTTGAATTCCTTGATGCGATGATCCCTTCGAGTTTCATAATGTTGGGATGATCTAATCTTCTCAAAATCATGATTTCTCTCGCTATGAATCTTATATTTTCTGTTTCAAAATTTTGGACCCGTATTTTCTTTAAAGCCATAACTCGTCCCGTCGATACCTCACAAGCCCGGAACACGTTGCTATACGTCCCTTGCCCGATCTAAGATTTTCAAAGAAATGTCAAAATTTAATTGTTGGGATCATAGATAGGGTTGTTTCTTGTCTCGCAAGAAAATGTAATGACCTGTGGTTAGGATTATTTTACCTTCTCTCTTTTCTCGAAGTCTTCGGCACGTAGTGGAACCCACCCATGAACGGCCTCGGGTGCGGCGGAGCTGAGCCAGGAGGGCCAACCAGCCGCCACCTGCTCTGCCTCTACATTGCTGTGCGGCAAGCCCGATCTCAGGCTAACACTGGTCGTCCTCGATCTTGGAGCATCATCGTCATTGTTACGATGTTTTTTCGGAGATGAGTTGACGACACGGCGGTGAGATGGTGGACCGGGAAGAACATGGCGGTTATGATGATCTTGGGGATGACTTCGGTGAACGGTGGTGTCCAAGCGACGGCGGAGAGGGCGTGGAGGACCCACCGGAGAAGAATGCTTGGAGTTGAAGCAACCCATAATAAATTAATTGTCAGAGGAGAGTTTCCGGGCGGCGTGAGTATCGACCCGGGTCGGGTAAACGGGTCCAACGCAGGGAGGGCAATCCCCGCATTAGACCATAGAGAAACGAAAATAAAGGAGAAAAAAAACAAAAAATTGAAGAAAAATAGTTTTTGTTGTAAAATAGAGAAGAGAACCGAATCGAGAGAGAGATAATCACGGACAATTCGACAATCCTCCTTAAACGTTGGAAGAGAAAAGAGACAAGAAACCAAATATTTTTCTTTTGTAATTTAAAATAGATTTATCTTATACACTGACAAAAAACGAAAATATTTTACTTAATTTTGAAGGGAAAAAAACAGCAATGAAAAAATAATCTATATGTTACACTGATTAGATACAAAATAATAAATTCATAATTTAAGAAGAAGAAAAAAAAAACAAATTTCTTTCTTTAGTCAAAAGCATGCACTCAATTCACATCACACATGTTATACAAGTCATCAATATGTAGTAGCCCGGTTCAGAATCAATCACCAAGCGGCTAAACCAATCCTAAATAATCAATCTCGAAATCTTCGGTTTTAAAGTCAAATTGTGATTTTCTCTTCTTTCAACCTCAAAAGAACCGGAGATTGGCCAGTGTTATTATTGTTACCAAAACTCATATGTTGTTGCATATTGTTCCCCGACATTGATCTCATACGATGGTGGTCAGACGTCCCCGCCGCAGCTGCGGTACCGTTTCTAGCGGCAGGGACATCGTGGTTGTGTTTACCTTCGTAAGTTGTAATCACAGCCTTAGCATCCGTTGAAGCTCTCTCTACATGTTTACGGACTGTACAATTTGGCGTTGTACATTTATAATAGCTCCTAATATTACCAAAACAAAACGAGTATTAAAACAAAATTAATGTGAAATAATGTATACAATAATCAAAATTATTTCTCTATAGCTAGATTCAATAAGCGCAACCCTAAGTATTAGTACCTCGGATGGGGATTTCCTTTGACAACTTTTTGTCCGTACTTGCGCCATCTATAGCCATCATCGAGAAGATCGACTTCACTTTTTGTCTGAACGATAATCTTAGGCTCAGTCACCGTCCGGTGAGTCGTCGACACACCGTCTATTTTTCTATAATCCCAATATTAAATATTTAATTGGAAATGCCATGAACATTATACTATGTATAATATATTAATCACATGCACAATTCTACTATACCTTATCTTTGAAGCCGGAAAATCATCGTCGTCATCATCATCATTGTTATCCTCTTCATGATCCTTACCATAACCACTATCATCACTAGATTCCATCATTTGCCCTGCACCACCAACGAAATGAATATCACCAACCTCAGTGGAATCTCTGCCTCCACCGCCACGGCGATTCTGAGGCCTCTCGTGATCATGTTGACCCTTGTAAATTATCTGAGTGATCTGTCCATCCGATGACCGTTCAACTTTCTTCTTAACCGGACAGTTAACATGTGTACATTTGTAATAACTCCTTGGATATTCACACCCTTTGATCGGCTTCTGTCCGTACTTCCTCCAGTTATAACCGTCATCCGCCGGTTTATCAACATTCACCACGTTATACGACCGGTTATTATTGTTATTATTCCCCGGATTATTGTAGTGGTTTCTAGCTCTTTGATCGGCTTGCGTCGACACTTCGAATGATTGACGGCCATGGACGGCGGTGGATGTAGATGGCGGCATATGATGAGGAAATGTGTCTGGTCGTGGTGGACCTGGTGGTTGCTGTTGCGGCTGTGGCTGCGAGTGGACAAAGCCGGTCTGGGCTGGCGCCTGCAGCATTTAATATCATACGAATCGATTTAGTCTATACTAATACGAAAAAGGAAATTTATATTAAAAAAAATGCTGGTTTGATACTACTAACAATGTCCAAACAAGGTTGTAGCTAGTGTGGCTGAAAAAAAAAGAAAACAAGGTTGTAGTGTATTGATTTATACTATTGGTGCCGCATTTTTCCAAGTATTAGACGATTGAGTGTACGAGTTTTAAAATAGACCATGATATTTTGTTAAGAACTAAGTAAATGTGAAGTATGAATATATTTAGTAATTGGATCATATATACACATACAACTCTAGATTGGTGAATTTTTTTTTCCCCTTTTCTGTGTTGTTCTATTGCTAACGACTGTGACTATCAATAAACTCTACAAAAAATTTCTTTAGCAAAATTCAATTGGGTTGAGGTTTTTTTTTTGGAACAATAATAGGGTTTAGTAAAGCCTTTATTAATTAATCAAGGATCATAAAGAATTAATAACCTGAGGAGGAAAGAACATGGGAGAGGTGAGAAGACTAGAAGGGCTGAAACCAGAAGGGATTGTAAACATAGGACCTCCTCCGGCGAACATCCCCGCCGTTGAACGTCCTCCGCCACCAGGAGAAACCGACATAGCTCCGGCAAGAAGCTGAGAAAACGACGTTGTCCGTTGGTTATCCGGCGTCAAGACGTCAGGGAAGTTGTCAACGAACAACGACGAGACAAAAGAAAGTGGTCCTGGGCTCAGACTAAGCCCATCTCCACCGCCAAAGAAATACGCCGCCGTTTCGATCGCAGGAGGTCTTTGGGGAACTGTAATCGTGGGTCTTGTTGGCGCCACTAACGTCGTCGTTCTTATCGAAGATACATCGTCTTCAACCGCCATTTTCTGATATTAATCTCAACCTTTGTAGATCTCTCTAGATATGGATATTACTGTGTGTATATATATAGAGAGAAACAAAGAGACAAGAGTCTTCTGTTTCAATGTCTGATTTTCTTAGATCGATTTCGTGCAGCCTTGACATTTGTGTTCAAAAGTCTACGGGCTAAACATGGAATTTCTTTAATAACAATATTATTACTAATTTATTGTGGTCCAATCTCCCTGTTCCTAATTTCGCATTTAAGCTATTTTTTATTAGTCTCTTATGAAAAATAATTCAACTTGCATCTTTTATTATTAAATTATTTGTTTAACAGGTTGATGGAATACCCAAATTTTTGGTGTTTAACTTGTAAAAGTCACCTTAGATGCTATTTGTACATTAACATATAGTAAATTTTGTGGACCGACAATATATATTAGGATGTTAACTAGACTTTTTCAGTTTTTCTTCTTGTAAAGTTGAAGTTAATTATATTTGAGTGAACCATATTCAATACTTTATTTATATTGGCCATGTTCTTTTCACAATCGTGCGACTCTCATCAGCGACCAATTTTTTAAAACTGAGTTTTTTTTGTTTTTATTTTATATCTTGTAATTATGAGTCTTTTTAAAGGCATAAATGTAAATTTAATAAACTCCTAATTAAACAATATTTTTCTGTTGAAGAAGATGATAAAATTGCAGAGATCTGTAAACCTCGATGATGGAAATTTGAAACCTAGAGATAATCGCTTTTTGAAATTAAGGGTTGGGTTGTGTCGCCGTTTTTTCCGGCGACTGTAAAATTTCACGTCGTAGCGACAGAAAATATAAGAGACGAAGAAGAGATGAAAAAAACTTAAAAGATAATTGAGGTGACAAATCAGTCGCACAGTGGGAATCGCACGCTCTTGAAAAGAACAGGGCCAATCAAATTCAGAAAATTCAAGTTGATGTCACGAGTGACGAGTCTTATAATCCATGTTAATCTCTCACACATATAATACAACGATAATCATCAGAAGATACAAATCTAGATCATAGTGAAATACAATAATATAGTTGCCGCACGACTTTAGTCATCGATACTGTATGTTACACCGTTCGAATCATTATGAGTATTTTCCCTGTGACTAAACTGAAATTTTGAAGCTGAAAATTGTCAAAAGACTCAAAATCGAAATATACTAGTATATCTGATTATACAGATCTAATCTCTGTGATATTAAATGTCACAATGAATAATAACGTAATTCTGGTAATATTCGGGCAACGATTTGCGTTTCATTAAATTATGTTTTTCGGGTTTGCTGAAACAAAACATAACTAGTACCTGCGTTGCATGTTCTTCAGAATGTTGAGAGAATTAAAGGAATCAACTTAAACTAATTAACTGACATTTGTTTTTGCAATTAGTATTTCTATTTGATTGTTTTTTGACACCTAAGGGACAGCCTATTGATACCTTATTAATAACGGAAATTATCAGTTCCATTTTCTTAAATCATATTCCCATATATTTATAATTAAATTTATAATTTGATCGACAATCAGAATTTTGATTTTAGTTTCACCCAATATGAAGTTATTATTGACGCAGCAGAAAAGGAAGCAATCAAGTATATTGAAACTTTTTCCTGAAACTAAATAAAAACATTAACAAAGGTTTGACATTTCTTGATATACCGTATATATTACGGTATCCAAATGACTAAGACGTTTAGTTAAACTCAAGACGAGAAGGGTCAAGAAGAATTGTAACCTGGTTTTAGATAATTTTAACATAAAGAAATTGAAATCTATGTTTGCAAGAAAATAGTCAAATTTAGAAATATATCCTAAAACTGGGGTTAGATCATTTTAATATCTTAAACATTTTGGTGTATGAAGAAACATGGGGAAACAAAAATCTTATGACTAAAAAAACCTTCAAGAGCTGTTTATTTTGTCGGGACGTGTGGTTGACTTTTGGATAAGGGTCAAGCTATTATCTAATTAATTTAGGCCCTTTACATAGTCGAAAATCTGAAAAGTACCACACGAACAATCATTTAAAATTGAAAGTGAATTCTTTTATGGGTTTGAACTATAAAATTAAACATCTTCAAATGCTCAAATCTCGTAGTCAGATTAGTTTACAATCACGTCATTTTCGATGTGATGAACAAATGATACAATTTAAACTGCCAGCTTTAGTCAATAAACTAAAATAGTCTAGCTAGCTGGTTATTTTTAATTGTTTTCTGGCTATCTACGAAATTTTTAATTTAATCCATAAAAAAAATCTAGGGTTTTGATAGGTTTAGGTGTCTAATCATGGTGCCCACAGCTGTTTGAGAGATGACTATATTAAACCCTAATCAGGGTTAAATGTAATATATTAGTTTTGCATAGTAGACTACTAGTATTAGTGTATTACTAACAGTTTGGAAGGAAAGATGACAAAAAAAAAAAAAAACTGTTTGGAAGAAAGTACATATTAAGAGCCACAAATATTATTTCTTCAAAATATATAGGTGCACAACAAAAAGGGGATGTTCTTCAAAATCAACGTAAGAGACTTGAATCATGATTTCAACAATATGTCTTATGGATTTGCAATATATATTGTCGAAATCTAGACCAAAATTTCTTATCATCAACAAAATTAGTTACTCGCAAAATATTCAACACATATAATCCTTTTTTTTTGGGTCAACTTAAACACATACATAAAGACGAAGGAAAAGGATCAAATAAGTAAAGAAGTAAGAATACTAGTTTTTGGTGTTTCATATAGAAAGACCTTTGGTTTATCCACAACTGATTATTTTTACCCATTACACCATCAAACGAATGTGTACATAGATCGCAGAGATAGTGTGGCCATCCTTACGCAAATAAAACTCGAATTAAAAATAAATAAGAAAATTAGCCAAGAAAAATAAATAAAACAAGTTGAGCAAAAAGGCGACTTGAAGATGGAGAAAAGGGTGGTCGTTGAGAGGACACTAAAAGGATAAACGTGTTCCCAAACATCCTTTTGTCTTTGATGTCATGTGGCAATGCGACCAACTTGCAACTTATTATATCACCTACATGACAAAAACTTCAATTATTGGAACATTTTAGTTACTTTCTCATTTCTCTTACATTCGTATATTATCTAAAGACCATTCTCTGATAAGTATCGGTGTATATATACCATTTTCATAAAAATTTAACCAAGGTACTTTAATTAATTTGGATTCGAATCTAGCGGAAATAAAACTACCACTTTCCAACTGATTAGAAATTTAGAAAACAATCAGTTTATTATAGGTTCATCAGCTGTTTGGGTTTGTCGATAACGAAATCTAGATATTTTTTTGAATTTAGTTTGTGTAGAAGTGAGCAATTTTTTTTTTTTTTTTTTACAGCAAATTAAGCTAATTCTTATATGTACGTGTGGAATCTCAACAACTGATAGATCAAGTGTTATAAAGAAAATATTTATATGAACGTGGAAATATGATCAACTGATAAAACAAGTGAAATGTTCTAACATTTCGTTTTCACTTTTCACACGTTTATTTCATAAAAATGTCTAACCATACCAAAAATGTGTGGTTCAAGCAACTAGTGTTAAATGATCTTTCGGATAAATTTTGTACTAGTTAATTAAGTGAAACATCAGATACTGTACATATATTGTCGGTACCATTGGCCAAATTCATCTGTATTTGCATTTATTGATTCTTGAAATAAATATACATATTTTGTCATCAATCAAACATACATATATTATATCATCTACATGAACGTGTTGCATAATAGTGACAACTACCAATTATGGGTCCACATTGAAAAAGGATCTCTAACATACAAATCGAAGCCCAATACGTAGGCCCAATAAAGTTTTAAAAGATTGTTCAAACAATTAAATTACAATTTTTTATTCAACAATTGATTTTTCCCTCCAACAAAAGCAAAAGCATGAACAATCTCCAAAGACACACACACACCCCAGAGTAGAATGACTAAAAGGATCCTACCAAAAAAAAAGAATGACTAAAAGGATCCAAGAAAGAACAATACATAAAAGAGTACTACTAAAACTATAATAGAGCTTCACTTTGCAAAGATATAAATCGTTTCTCTTTAAAAGAAATCAAGACATATTACCACATCCTTAGTACCGCGTCCCCCATTGTCCCAACCGCTGCGAAAACAGCTACCGGAATAACAAACTGACTTGCAAAACCCGAGAGGGTAAAGGTTCTTGTTGCACTGTTCTTGATAGGTGCTGCAGCTGGTGGAGGAGGCGGTTTCTCAACTAAAACAGCGAGCTTCATACCGCCGTAACATCCACCACCATTACCACTAATCAGATAGTAATGCCTTGTCACATTAAGATGAACCAAGTCCCTTCCAGCTCCACGACTCCAATTAGCGATCGGGTTATTGGGATTGCAGCTTATGTAGTTGGTTTCGTTCACTTCTATGACGTTGTATTGGTTTCTCTCATACACAAAATCTGACGAGACAACATGAGAATTAAACACTATACTATAAGTCAACAAGGTTCATGATTCGAGTATCTTACTGAAAATACAATCTTCAAACTATTTAACAATTTTCAATGCTTTGAAAGAAGCAATTTTAATAAGAAAACAGAGTGTTGCACCAAAAAAAAAAAAGAAAAGAAAACAGAGCTAGTGAAGAATCAATCTAGTGGTCCTTTTTAAGACAGTCTCTGATTGTGTCCGACATAATCTGGACTACACAAAGTTCTAAAATTTCGAACGTAAGCGAAACCATTCATTTGCCAACAGATCTAAAACATCTATCGTTATAAATCCGAGAGCCTTGTGATAAGAGTATCAGTGTAAAGAGAAAGAGTTAGAGAGAGCGTACAGAGCCAATCGTCGAGGTAGAAATGTTTGTCCTGAGCCCAAATGGTATAGTTGATATTAGGATTCCAGAACTTGTTATCGCCCACCGTCCACTTCTTCGCAGCCACCTCCGTCGCCGTCAGAAAAGCAAGCACCGCCGCCGCAACCAAAACCGCAAGTCTCGCCATCGATCAGTACTCTAGAAAAAGGATGAGTCGTCGTCTTTTTCTGACTCTTTCTCTTCTGGCTCTAGAAATAGCCGATATTGATGGGTTTATCGAAGTTAAATCTGAGAGATAAAAATGTCTCTTTTTCAGGGAAAAGATCTCTCTAGATCCGTAATTCCTTCGACTAACCTTCGAATTTTTATCTTTAATTAAACCTCGAGGTTGACGAAAAGTGCAAGGTAAGCGTTATGTAATTAAGGCAATTTCGTCTGTAATATTTTCTTTTTTATTTTGGTCATATTTTCTTACCTTTTTTCCGGAAATTAATTTCCTTTTTTAGTCATCCAGTTGGTCTTAATTGCTTAATTATAAAGTCAGGATTTATTTCCTTAAAGAACATATTGAAATACAATGAATTTAAAAGTGACAACGATTCTTTTACTTTCAATAGAAATTGTGTTTATTTGATACATTTTAAAGTTGTAACTATATTATTAGCTCTTTATATTGTTGTAGCCGTTGGGGAATTTCACATTTTGAATGCCTCGTCACATATGACAAGTAGCTTTTCATGATCTATTATTATAATCCATCATAGCTTCCACGCGCAAGCTTGATTGTAACCACCGCCACAAAACTGGTAGAATCCACATAAATCAGTAATTTTGTTAAAAACATATCAATTTTTTTTTTTAGAGAAAGTTCTCTAATCTTCTACCGTTTCTTTTTAATTTGGCCAAGAATCTTTCTTAACTTGTTTTTTTCCCATATTATTTTGACTTTTTCAAAAATGATATATACGGAGTTAACATTTTGTGTCCACACAATATATGTTGTAATATCCACGTAGGATGAAGTATCCTTTTAAACCCATCCACGTGTCCAAACATCAGCTTCTAATTCCATTGTACAATAAAAAAAAAACCTTACCTGAAAAAAAAAAAAAAATCGAACTCAACTGAGAAGCGAAGAAGAAAATGGCGGCAGCGGCCATGGCCCTTCATCTCCCGAAACATTCTTTGTTTCTTCCAAAACCCAAACTTCCATTGGATAAAAACCACAACTTTCTCGGTGGTTCATTGAATTTAGGTCGACCCATGTCCTTAAACCGGGAAATTAACAGTCCGATGATGGTCTCCGCTTCTTCGACGAGCAAGACCGTCGTTACTGATGACGTAGACGCTGATCGAAGTAAACGGTTTTATATAAACTTCACTGGCTTTCCTTTTCCTCTTGGTCCTTTCCTTAACCGGCGCACCATCAGAACCGAGGTTAGCTTTTCTCCAAATTTTTCATAAGGGTTTGTTAATTTGTCATCTCTAATTTCAGAATCACAAGTTTATGAAAATCCTTCTCGATTTTCAGAAAATCTTGAAACTTGTTTGTTTGCAGGCGGTTAAAGGTTGCATATGGATGTTTGAACAAGAACAAGCTTTAGGATTTAGCAGTGTCTCCACGAATATACGAATGACTATCATCAAACTAAAATCTGGAGGTTTATGGGTTCATGCTCCTATTGCTCCTACCAAAGAGTGTATTCAGGTTCCCATTTTTACCCCACCAAATTGGATTTTGTTCTTTATGATTACTAACTACCTCCAGATTGATATATCATACTTTGTTGTCATTTCTCTACTTGCATTGATATTTGACCTCTTGGGGTTTGATAAAGTTGTTGTATTTGATAAAAAGAGAAAGCCTTTTTGGTTGAGCTTGCAGATGATTGAACTCTATTTGTTGTTTTGCTCTTTTATTGTGGCAGCTTATTAAGGAGTTGGAAGCTCCAGTTGAGTACATTGTCCTTCCAACATTTGCTTATGAGCACAAGATTTTTGTCGGTCCTTTTTCTAGAAAGTTCCCTAAGGCTCAAGTATGGGTTGCACCAAGACAATGGAGCTGGCCATTGAACTTACCACTCGAGTTTTTTGGTATATTTCGTGCTAAAATCATTAAAGACGGGGACTTATCTACGCCATGGGCTGAAGAGATTGAACAGAAAGTCCTAAGCTCCCCAGAAGTTGGTATGTTCCTTAAGTATTTCGATCTGGTTTGGTTGAAAGATTCGAAAATCATATTTTCTTATGGGGTATCCAGGAATTGGACCGTATGTCGAAGTAGCGTTCTACCATAAGCGTTCAAGAACCCTTTTAGTCACCGATGCTGTGATCTTCGTCCCGCGGAAACCGCCCTCGAGTATCAGCAACGAATCCTTGCTGGCCTCGGCTAAGAATGGACTAGCTGTGAAGATACTTAGCAAAGGAAAAGACGTACCCAATGATCCAGTGGTTGATAATCCGAACACCCGCCAAAAAGGTCAGTAGTTCTTAAAAATCAAATTCCCCTGTTATTTGATCAATCAGAAGAAGATCTTAGATCTCAGTGGCCTCTGTTTTAAAACTTGCAGGGTGGGAAAGAATGGTTCTACAAATCCTATTTCTTGGTCCCTCGAATCTCTTGGAACCAAATGCAAGCTTCGCACGAATGTCACAGAAGCTGATCGTTTCTCCCATCGTAAAGACTTTGGTCTTTAGCAAAGTTCCTGAGAAGGTTCCCTATTTCTGCATCATCTGTTTAAATCTTTGTTTTGGTTCCAAAAGGGTTTGTTTTGATTTGATCATCACTGATGATTCAGGTGAGGGATTGGATCGATGAGATAGCCCGGGACTGGAGATTTAAAAGGATAATCCCAGCTCATTTCGAAGCTCCAATAAACGCAGGAAGATCAGAGTTTCTAGCTGCGTTTGGGTTCCTAGAGGATCTTCTAGGGGAAAGATATGTAACTCGTCCTTCGCTCTCTCTTCTTTTCACTTCGCTAATGGGAAAAGCTGCGAGCTATTTTCCTCCAGACGATATGAGAACTCTCTCTTCTCTTGATCAGTTCTTAGTCTCTGTTGGGGCTGTGAAAAAGACAGTATCCGGTAGAAAACGAAGATGATGGCAAAACAGAAAAAAAAAGATTCAGCCTTGTGATGAAAGATATATATAGTCAGAAACAAGTAAAAGCTTCCATGTTTTGTTTACTAAAGTTTTCTTTGGGTAAGCATTGTATACTAAGGTTTTGCAGACATTGCCTCCAACTAGAGGCGATCCATTGCATTGATGATTTAACCAAGTCTATTGCGGTGTTTGAAGACCAGGCTTACAAGACTTTACTCAAACCAAGTCTAATCAAACTACAACTAACCACCATTTATTAACCGGTATATAAGAATTGAGCTGAATCACTCAACGCCAAACAAATAACGTGCAGCTGAATCCAACAATTTCTTCTTGCTCCTTAGCTCAAATCGACCTCGAATTTTCCGTAACCAGCTGATAACCGGTTTAGTTAAGAACTAAACCAAGTGTGATAACCAGATAGAGGATATCAGAACCAATTTCAACAAGAGTTTTTATATTTGACGTCTTCATTTTAGATAATTACAACAACAAGAAGAAAAAAAATCATCTCATCTATATAGCGCTTAGGGTTTCATTATCGAGATCTGATATTTGTTTTAGCAATGGGACCGAGGAAAAAAAAAGCAAATCGCCGGAGACAAGAGGAAGAAGAAGCAAACTGGTCGGCGCTATGTCCGGACTTGCTGCGATGTGTTTTCAAACGATTGAGTTTCACAGCTCTTAATCGAGCTAAATCGGTATGTTCTACGTGGCACTCTGCTTCCAGAGGCTGCGTCCCTAACCAAAATCAGATTCCATGGCTGATTCTCTTCCCTCACGAGGAGGAATCCAACAAAAACAGTAGTAGTTGTGTGTTGTTCGTTCCGGAGGATCAAGACAAAGTTTACACAAGTAAAGATCTTGGTGTTGACTTTTCCCAGAGTCGTTGTCTGACGACTTGTGGTAGCTGGCTCTTGTTGTTGAATCGTCGTCGGGATCTCTACATTCTCAACCCTTTAACTGGCGAGAGGATTGATCTATCCAATAACCAACATTTACCAAGTGACTTAAGATGCGACCAAGTTTGCTTTCGGATAGACAACAAAACCAAAGATTACCTAGTTGTAATGTTGCAGTACTGTAGTGTGTTTACCAAGAAAGGATATAAGAAGTGGCACGACTTTCCCCACTTGGATTGTTATGGAGATTTTGCCTACAATCAAAAGGATCAAAAGCTCTACGTTCATTATCCCAATGATATTGTCAATATTTGGGATTTATCAGGAGATAATCCACACAAAGATAGGTCTCTGTCTCTTGATCCTTTTTATATCAATCATTATGATTTCCCCTCTTTTCTTAATGATAACGAAGATGAACTTTACTGGGACAAGTTACGTGGCTTCGCGACACGCACTGCAGTCACAGTATCCGGACATGTTTTGATGGTGTCAAGTATAGTACAAGACTGCAAAACATGGTATTTTCGCATCTACAAGACAAACTTGTATGGCAACTGGGTGAAAGTCAAATCTTTGGGCAATGAAGCATTGATCTATGATATGGGTATCACTGTTGTCGCCAATGGCATCCCAGGGATCAAAAGGAACTCTATCTACTTCAGTGGCGTCGATCATGGCAGAGATGATCCACATCACATATTTGTCTACGATCTCACCACCCAAAAGATGGAACCTTTGCCACAATGCGCCTTCTCTACCATACGATTCTCTGATGCTCGTTGGTTCTTCCCGTGCTAGTCGTCTACCTGCGCAACTTCAGGACATATCGCCTCTGTTCCTTTTAATGTTTTAAGCTCGATTTGCTTTAGACTTGTTTTATTCGTTTGTTTTTTTTTGCTTTCAGTTCTAAATCTTGATGATACATTATCATTTTATTCATCTGTTGTTGAGAGTTTAGTCTCTTTGACGATAAAAAGGGGTTTCAAGTCCATTTTGTTCCCAAAGCAGAGGAACTACGAAACAGAGCTAAAATGTCTTAAGAGGAACTGACTCATTTACTACACCTTGATGTATTATCTCCTTCATTCTTGCAACAAGGAACAAGCTATAGAAGAGCTTTGATTTAAACCTTTTTATAAAAAAAAAATGGTTCAATACTCTTTAATTATGTATCTGTATTAGTAAACAATCTATACTAACCACAAGAAAGACTTTCAAGGACCAGAAATCTAACACTCTCTTGAGGTTTTGCTACTCTCTTACATGACTGAACAGACGCATTCCTTCATCTTCGGGTCATCTTTAGGCTTCTTTTCTTTTTTTTATATAAAAAAAATGGTTCAATACTCTTTTTCCTATGATGTCTTAGACACAATAATGTCTTATTCAGGAGAGGAATTTAAAGTTGATCGCAAGTTTGCTCAGAAGATCCAAACGCTCTATGGAGGAATAATTCCGCCGGAACTCTTGCACATGGCCAGCGTTTTCAGGTACGGACCTACGATGCCTCTGGCATTTGAAAGATACGCAGAAGAGATTATAACTGGAGGGGACATGGGTCGTCTTCTAAATCACATTTGTCTGGGAGTTTTTACTGGAATTTTTGAGTCAAAACATATACAACAGATGTGTACGGCTTTGGGATCTTTCATCAACAGAGAAGAGCTTTGATTTATACTTTTTTTTAATATAAAAAAAATGGTTCAATACTCTTTAATTCTGTATCTGTATTAGTAAACAATCTATACTAACCACAAGAAAGACCAAACTTAAGGACCAGAAATCTGACTCTCTCTTGAGATTTTGCTACTCTCTTACATGACTGAACAGACGCATTTGTTCATCTTCGGGTCACCTTTTGGCTTCTTTTCTGTTTCAAGCAAACAACATCTCTCTGTCAGGTCCACATCAGATTTGGATGCTAAAGTTGAGGCTGCTTGTCTCTTTGAGTATTTAGGAGCTAAAAAAACAAGAGAAGAATGTTTTACCTTTTTCCGCAACCGGAGCTTGGATGATAACGTGCATTGTGGTGACAGCGCCTGCAAGATTAGAGACAGGACTTCGGTAGTCTTTAACCGTCTTGTTGTTCTCCAATACCTTCCCTGCGCTGATCAACTTCACCTCTTTCACTGTTCTCGGTCCATTCTCCTTCTCTATCATGAGTCAAACACAACAGAACAAATTAACAACTAGTATGATCAGTACAAAGCGTTGAACACAGGTTCCTGGATAACAGAACAACTAAGCAATCACAGGAACAAGTACAACTTTAGGCATGGTGAGTAACATTCTGCCAATTGATCTACTCAAAAAAAACTTGTGAAGTTTCTTTTGCATAAGATATCCTATTGGGACATGATTCTCACAACTACCAAAATCATTGTTCCAAGAAGATTCAAGCCTTTACAATCTCAAAACACAGTGCCTTAGGAAGGATATTAAATTTAAAAGCCGTAAGGGTAAGTAAGCATAAGAAAACTGACCTCTTGGCCATTCAGAAATAACAGTTTCCTTCAAAGCCGAAACAGTTGTAGCATCAGGGAATGCTATAGGACCGATATCAGAACCATCGGTTAACCGAAACTTGATCTCTAGTTGATTATGTACTTCTGCCATCTATCCAAGAACCAAACAACCCACAGAACTTTCCTTTAAACCACAAAAAATCTCAAAAGACACCACAACACTTGACAGTTTCTTTCTCGACGTATCAAATTCCACACAGGACCTTGTTTGCTCTTTAATCTATCTGCAAAGAGTCAAAAAGGAACAATTTTTTTCTTCAATAAGTGTGATTGTGAAGATGAAACAAGAAACCTGAGAATATATATATATATATATATATAATGGTTTAAAGAGATGATCTTGAAAACAGAATCTGATTATAAATGAATGAGCATGCAAAACAGCAATAACCAGAGGATTCTGAAAAGATACACAAGAATAAGAAAGATAGATTTGCATATAAATGTAAAAAGATGAGAGAAATTAAATAAGAAGAAAGAAAGAGATCTAAACATGAATGAACAAAAACACGGAATCTCCAAAAAAAGGAGGAAACTTTAAAACAAGGAATCTCCAGCCAGATTTGAGAGGAAGCCGGAAAAAGAAAAGCCCTAATTAGGTCTCTCTCTCGCAGGTGTGTGTGTGTGTGTAATCAAATCTTACTTGGTGGTGGGCTCTGTGACTGATCTGAGCCGATGAATCAAGAACACGCATCAGAGAGGAGAGAGAAGAAATACAAGAAGAAGAGATCAAGAGATCTCGTGAGTGTTCAATGGCGGTCAAAGTTTCCATTTTTCTCTCATTTTCTTCCCATTTATGCGCCTTTCAATTTCCCCTTCTCTCTCGATTCCTTATTCTTGTTTCGTAAAATTTGATATTGAAATCACTTGGAAACAACGCACTACTTACTTAATCCAGAAAGAAATTTTTTTTTTTTTTTTGTTCCAAGAAAGTCTTTATTTTAATAGTTAGTTAGTTCCTTTGCATGTATAAAGCTTTTGCTTCTTTGTGGGACAAATCACTGCAATTAAACTAAAAAGATTACCTTTTTCATGACATCTATATCATTTTCATTTTTTCTATTAAGTATACAATAAATTTTAATTTATCCATTAATTAATTAGTCACCAAGTTTACTAATAATTGGAACTTCTTTTATTATTGTTTTGGTCAAATGGTAAGTTTTTTATATGTTCCATTTTATGACAGAAAAAAAATTCAAGCCATTCCCTATAATCCCATACAATTAAACGTGATTACCATTTTCAAATTTGTAATATTCTTACAAAAGACATTAAATCAATATATTAAATTGTGAATAATATGTCATGAATCAAAATTTATTTTATTTTTATTTTTTATGCAGTACCTAATTGTGAATATATCATAATTCATATTTGCGTTAGATATCTTATCTAAAAATAACATCAAACAGAGAGAGATAGGAGGACAGGGGAGGAGATAAGCACATTGCATCTGACCAAGAATCTTCTGGATCAAGAAAAGTGTCATTGATTGATCAAATAGGGACCTTAACAATGATGAAAAAAATAAAAATTAGGGACCTTAACAAAGCAATAATGTCCATATAAAATCCCTAAAACCTAATGAAATCAAATAGTCAAAAAAAAAATGTGGAATTTTAACTGTCAAAAATCGAACCAAAAAAATATAAAAGAGTACAAGTGGAGCAAATGCAACAGTGTGTTGTTGGTCCTTGGGACTGTTGTGGTCATGACCAAAATCCAATTTCTTCTTGGGGGGTGTCCTTAAACCTTCCCTGTTCTTATAACAGATCCAAAATTGGAATCTTTACTTCAAAACCAAAAAGAATCTCAAAAAGGGTACCTTCTATTTTTACAGAAGAATGAATCTTTATTTCTCTCTCTCTCTCTCTTTTTTCTGCTGCTCTGCAACTGGTTTCATTGTCCAGCTAAAATCCGAGTAAATCTGCAGAACCCGCGAAATCTCCAGTCTGCTTCTAGATTATCTGGAAGCTTTCTGTTTGCTATTCCAAGATATGACAATTCTTTATGAAATCATTGGAGTAGTTAACATATTTCGTCCAGAAGGGTCTGAGATGCTCGAAACCTATCTCGAGCCATGGCTTTGATTGGCCATTGTAATGAATCACTGCAGCTTTCTTCGCATTGTCTAAGTTGGTGTTGCTCTGATAACCTAATCCAAGCATATGCCAAGACGAATCTATTGGCTGAACATGACCTTTAAATGCTATTAGAGCAGGAGGCAATGTCCCAAGTTTCCACATTGTTAAATTCGACTTCAGATTCTGCACATCAAATCAAAACCAGAAAGCAAAATCAGGGATTTGCCAATCTTAGAATCATAAAACTCAAAAACATTGCAGGCTTCTCTGATACTTTACCTCTTTAAGCCAAGAATGATAAGTTTCTCTGATATTTGTCTTCCTCCAAGTCCGTAGATCGAAGATATTCATTCCATAAGCCCAAGCACATTCTTCGGGATCCAAATGCTTTGCGATGAGTGGGTGAGAGAAATTGAAGTAGTTCCTAAGACGCTTTGACATAACCCATACGTCTTCTCCTCGACAAGTCTCTACAGCTCCATTAACCTTCCCGTTAAGGTCAATATCCCAAAGCGGAGATAAATCTCTCTGTATCACTATATCATCATCTAAGAACACTACCTTGTCTAAGTTCGGAAAAAGCTGTCCAAAAAAGGAAAAACAAACAAGCATTACACTCATATTCTCAATCGGAACTTTTCAATCAAAAGGATAGAAATTTTCATCCTAGAGAGTAAGCCACTTCATTTATACGAAAAAGGCAAAAAAATTAAAACTAAAAGGACTATTTTTTACCTCTGGTAGATATATTCTTAGATGGTTGAGCAAAGATATGTATTTGGGACTTCTTGATTGCAGTTTCGAAGCAAATGTTCGAGGAGTTGTTTCGCTGAGGTTTGCACCAGCGATATGATTCCCATGGTAATAATTTCTGATACTGTTATGGCTTTCCACAGCTTCGAGAACCGGAACATTCTCTCTTGTTAACCAGTCAAACTGATGAACACTTTTGACTTCAACAATCGCAGGAGCGACAGAATTGAGTGCAAACCAAGAATGCATACCCGCATAGGTTTTCTTGTCTGTGATAACATGAAAGACAATTTTCTCGGGTTTTGAAGATGATTGAACAGCAGATGAGACCACAACCGATGCAGCCAAGATATTGTCTGTAGCTAGAACAAAATGGTGGTAAGCATTGTCTGAGAGAACAGGGAGAAGCTCCGGGGAAGGAAGCTGTCTCCGGGCATGAGCATTGGAGGAATATTCATCAGTTAGTCTTAAAGAGAGACAGTGAATTCCTTTTGGAATTGAACTTGCAGCAAAGTGTTTGTTCATGAGTTCTGCAAATTTGGATTCCCTTAATTCCCTTTCAAACTTCTCTACCTGTTCAAAAAGAGTAATCAAATCAAATATAATTTCGGATAAATCTACAATTTCACATTTTATTGAAGATTAGAGGGTGTACCATAGCTCGAAGTACGAGGGCAAATGTTTTCGCATCATAGTGGTTGTTCTTCATATCCGAAACAAGTTGACTAAAAGAATCTGGAAGCTTTAAACCATCTGGAATTTCTTGAGTGCTTACTTCATTTAGAATTTTGTAAAAATCTCTAACTAGTCTCTGCTGCAACAGAACGTGTGAAAAGAAAAAAAATCCGACTTAAACATAATGATACAGAGAGATCTAGATTACAAATTTAAACATCTGAAAAGAAGCAATGACTAACCTCTGAATCATCTATCCTACCAAGAAGACGTGGTCCTAACCGCCTCCCAAAACAATCTGAAGCAAGAAAAAAAAGGTAAGAAACTTTCATGAGCTCATCATCACACAAGCATAATTAGGAAGATTGCAAAGCCAAGCATATGAACTAAAAGCGGAAAGGGAACAACTCTAAGATTCATCTCATCAGTATTTGGTTCTGATCTAGTAATACTGATACAAATCTATAATTTTTACTTCACAACAATGGAATTCTTCAAAAACTGCCATTAAACTTGAGAGTTGAACAAAATGCCGAGCTCGAAGCTTCATACTATGATACAATTGAAGCTCAACTGGTGGATACCAAACAAGAAAATTTCAAATGCCTACACTTTGTTGACTTAACAAGATACTTGTGACAATACCTAGCTCAGCTGACAACATTTAGGTGGTAGATCCGAAGCAAACAAGTGCCCATCAACAAAAGTACAATGAAACTAGAATGATTGAAGGAGAAGAAAAGAGGGGTTACCAAAGGAGGAGCACTTGTTGACACCTTCAAGGGTAACAACAGCGGTTAGGATGAAGACAAAAGGCAACAAGAAAGCGAGGATTAAGATAGTGTGGAAGAGAGTTCGGTAAGAAATGTGACGAGCTGCGACTTTGATCTTCATCAAATCAATAAACTCATTGCTGCTCGATATCGTAATGCTTCTCATGCTCGGCGATATGTGAAGCTGCATCCTTGTTCGTGCAGCCCCACTGTTGTATTGAGATCAATCGAATCGAATAAAACCCTAATTCCACCCAATCCCCAACCAAACAACATCACCTCCCTACGCGATTCCTCTTCTTCTCCGATCTCGATCTGGCTTTCTGGGTAGCTCCCAAATCCGATGATGTTAGACTCTGATTCGATCTTCTTATTCTTTGTAGCCTTCCTCTCTCAGACCGCATTTGGATTTACGACAACCAGCAAAATTCCGAATTTGAGATTCCCGCCGTCTCTTTGTAGATTGATTTAAGCAATTCGATACGAGAATCGAAACGGGTATTCCTCCGAATTCGTGTTACAGGCAGGATCAAAGACAAAGCAATGAGCTTGTCAAAGAAGAAGCAGACAAAAAAAAAGATGAGAGGAGAAGAAGAAGAAGAAAAATCAAGCCTCTTTTTTTTTTTTTCCTCAAGTGATTTCGCCGGTGGATCTAAAAACAACAACTAATGCAACACAGCCGAAAAAAAAAAAAAGTAATTAATAAAAGATCTCAAATTATAAATGGGAATCAAAATTTTAATGATAAAACCGTGTTTGGGATTGGTGTCTTGACCTTGAGTTTAGGGTTTTTGTATATTGCTAATTATAGGTTTTTTCCGACTTTCATGCCCAATCGATTAATTTTGCTCTTTTTCTTTCCCTCTTGATTATCTAATTTTGATAGAAAGTCTGAGAAAAATATATTAAAAAATACATATATAGATAGACTATAATAACGTGCAAAATTTTCAGAATTCTTATATATCTGATATATTCCTATAATAAAACTGGAAATAAAGTTTTTTCTTTTTGATCGACCTAAATATTTTCTTAACAGCTGTTTTTATATAAATGGAAATAAGTGGCCGCAAAAGAAGAAGAAAAGTATACAATTAGGAAAGTCTAATATATTATTTCAACACGTCACAAATATCTCTGAAAATTATCGTACGATTATCTTTTTGTCGTAGTCATTTAATATACGCAAGAAAAGGAATTTGTATTTAAGTTCATTTATAATGAATATTCGCCAAACTAAAGTTTGGAAAGTTTTAATTTTAATGCGAAGACGAACCGACACGATATGATACGGTCAAGACTCAACAAAAGATTTAAATTAGAAGAAACTAACCTTTTTCCAATATGATCTTTCAACTTAAATTGCAAAATCGTATCTCTGAATTTATTAACCAGTATCAAACCGGATTAAATTTAGAAACGATTTATGAGTTTTTATTTATAAGATTTGTTTATGATTGTATTGAACTCTCAAGATTTTGTTCTAATTCAAAATATAAGTAACACATTCAAAATGTAGTAACTAATAAAGGGAAAAAGATTTGAAAGAACGATTCAAAATTCTCGAGAAACAAGCAATGGACCTGTTTTTGAAGATGGTTTTTTGAGATAAAGAGTAAAACACATCTTCAAATTCTCTACGTACGAAATACAAACATGACGGGTAACAAGACAACAACGATTTTCAACACAAAATTTCGTCAAAGCCCGTACTGACCTAAACAGCCTTGAGCAAACTCTGCACTTATGCGTCAGCGTCACTGACCCATTATTAATCCCAGCTCCAGCTTCTACTGATTCTTCTCTGCATCTCTTGGTTGACTTTTGGACTTGTTTCTCATTCTATGGAACGTCTGATGACCACCAAGAGCTTGATAAGTCGAGAAAACCTTGTCACAGAGCCCACACCGATGCTCAATATTCATCTCAAATCCTGATATTGAATCTTCAAATGCAGTTTCTTGACAAACAAGTTTGTGTTCGTTATCGGTTTCTTCTCTAAGAATTCCTGCTTCTACCAGTTTCTGCTGACCAGATTCGTCTTCTTCTCTGGCCTTCTTGTCTGCCAAGTAACCCGAAAGCTCTTTCGACGTTCCAACAGATGCTCTACTAATCCCCACAGGTTTCTTCTGCTCATTACTCAAAAACCCATCTTCAAAGTCTCCATCTTTTCTCAAATTCACCACTGAATTCGAATCCAGAGCTTCACCAAAATGTTTCAGCTCATTTCTCAATAGCACATGTTCAAATTCTCTCGGATTCGAATCCAGAGCTCTACCACTAAGTTCCAAAGCATTCAAGAACTTTCCACCACTCATAGACAACAGAATCAGAGACTCAGCGACTTCTAATAATCCTCCATCATCAACAGAAACAGGAAACATTGTACACGAAGAAGAAGAAACAGAGAATCGAGAAAGAATCTTCTTGTACCTGGAAACTCTCTTCGATCTCTTTCTCCTCTGCACAACACTGAAGCTACAAAATAGACTCTTTCTCATAGATTCTTCAGAATGCGTCACTTGGCGATGATTCAACAGACATTTCTCGTAAAGAAACCCTTTCCCGCATTCTTTGCATCGAATCAAGCTCTTCTTATTCCTCCTCCTCGTACACAATCGATGATCGAGTAAAGATTTCTGGGTTTTCTTCGGGTTTTCCCTCAATCCGTAGTTGCAAGAGAGCTCTTTGTAATGATTCATAGATTCTCTGAAACCAGTCTTCTTCGTGAGATTTCTCGAAACTCGAGAGTTTCTGAGCTTCTTAGGGTGGAATTCGAAGATGGGTTTCTCAAATTCTTGATGTTCTTCCATTAGAACGAAGCTTTTTGGAAGCAGAGATGATTGTAGAAGAGGATTACGCTCATTACCCAAGAACGATGAGCGTAGAAACAGCTGAAAAAATCGATCTTTAGTCACTTTTTCCGAGAAATCGCCGGAGACAGAGCAGTAACTGTTGGGCAAGAATGATACGTAATGCTCTGAATCAATCGGGTGAAGAAAGCAAAGGAAAATTTGGGTTTTCCGTCGTTCTCTGGGAAAATGAGAAGAGAGGGAGAGAGTGAGAGCGAGCAAGAGAGGATGTGGAAACAGAGAGTCAGATCAATAAGCACTGAGAAGTGAAGGAGAAAGGGGCACTTTAGTAAATTGCTTTGCGATTGATTTTAAGAGTGAACGAGAACTTTTGTTTCAGTTAGAAGGTTCGACGTGGCAAATTGCGACTGATGTGGCAAGGCTTTTGAGCTTTTCATTACTCTCTTTAGAGCATGCACATAGTTGATACTCTATGAGTATCATTAACATTTTTTTATTATTAATTTTAATGTTTGTTTATTGTTTGAGATTTTTTATGATACTGATAATAAATTTGTTTCCAGTGGTGATACCGGTATCGGTATCATTAATATAAAAAAATTATTTGCAAAATCAAAAATAAATATATAAAAACATAAGATTATAAAAGGTAATATATAGAAACATAAGATTATAAATAAATATGTAAAAACATAAGATTATAAAAATAAATATACAAAATCAATTTGTTTCCATGATGGCCTCTTCCCATTTGTTTTAATATAAATTTTGAAAAATTGAAAGTTAAGAAATTTAATTGGGATTCTTAATTTTTATCATCTCCAATGGTAGAACATCATTTGGGGTTCTTAAAAATTTAAATTTTTGAAAATTTGTGTTTTAAGTGTTTTGGCATTAAAATTTATGTGTTTTGGTTACTGAAACACTTGATCCAATTAATGTGTTTTGGATCTTAAAACACTTGATCAAATTTTGGGAGATGGAGGAAAAAAAAAGAATAATATGGATTCAAATCATGGTTTTGTGGTTGATGTAAATTTAAATTACATATGGAGACATATGTTTCTCCCTACAAGCTTTGAAGCTAAAACTAGTGCAAGATTCAGTTTTGATCGTGAGGCAATAAGAACAAAAACTTAATAACAGGTTCAACATCAATCTATATTGGATAGAAAGAACCATAACTAATCGTTAAAGCAGATTTGACCAAATAGCTTTTGCTACCTCTTCCTTGAGACTCGTTCTTTGATCACATCTGAATCACAAAGGAAGCCATCAACTTCAACACTATGAACATATCATATCAACACAAGAGGAAGGATCAGTTACAATGATTACAACCAATTTGTAAAAATCTCGAGTAGAAGCAGATATCTAGATTCGTTTACTTCTTAAGAAAACAGAGGAATGGATGCAAAACAGAGAGAAAAAGTATTATATTTTGGTTCCCAATTCTTTCATACTACCAATCACCATATCATCAAACCAAACCCAATTAACAAAAGCTGATCAAATTCAAAACCCAATTTCTCAATTCTACTTTGGAACATTTCAAACAAACTATAACTTGAAAGACAACAAAGGTTCACACTTTTTCTATATACGATCAAACCCAAATAACAAAAGCTGATCATATTCCTAAACCCAATTTCTCAATTTTAATTTGGAACATTTCAAACAAACCATAACTTGAAAAAACAACAAAGTTTCAAACTTTCAATATATACAATCAAACCCAAATCCGCTATTACGGCCAAAAATTCCACAATTTCGTTCCATTAAAGTAATCGATGGAACAATAACAAGAACTTACTGAAATTGGCTTCGATGTCGTCGAAAGAGAGAGAGATGTGTTCTTTCCAATCAATCGAATTTTTTGCAGAAACCAAGTGTGAAATTAGTAACAGAGATAATATAGCAATCGAAGAACGATTCATTTTGGCTGCTGAGGGGTCCCAATTACAAACATATAACACAAAACTGAGGTAAGAAACCCAGAAGCTATCTCGATTTTGTTTACCAAAATTTCAGTGAGAGAATCACAGAATTGAAGGACAACACATAAGAGATTCGTGTACAAAGCTTCATACTTTTGAATTGCAGACAGAGATTAAGCCAAACCCTTCACCCAACAGAGATTTCGCAATCGGAGAAATCAGAAAGAGAGAGAGAGAGAAACACAGGTTTTCTCGCGAATGGCCGTGAGAGGAGAGGAGAGAAGAATGGCGAAGGTGAAATTAATTAATTATTTTTTTTTTTCTCTGTTTCCAGCGTTTTCGTTGAACCAATAGTGTGCTGCCACGTCACCAGATACTCAGTATCAAAGGTATCAGTGGACTGATACGTATCAGGTCCAAATGCATGCTTTGGTCCATTAAAAAATGATTTTTGGGCTATTGATACTCAAATAAAATCACCTATGTACATGGTATTAGTTAAGGGTTTCAAGGGTTTTGATTTTTAACCACAGATTCTTAGAGATAAAGGATTCATTTTTATTTTTTATAAAGGATTCATTTTCAACCATCATTTCTTTTACACTGTAAATTTAGTATCATCACGAAGATTTTCATTTTTTTTTAGAGAAATAGAATCACTGATACAAACTACTTGTGTAAACTAGTTCTAACAGGGTAAACATTTTTGAAGTACCATGAAAAAAAAAAAAAAAAAGAGCAATAAAAATGTTCCAGTGAAAATGATATATTTGGTGACTTGATCTTATTTGTGAATGTTCAGGCCAAAGCTTGTGTCACCATAATTTTATTCTGTGAATTGCTTAGCTACGTATGTCTAATATCAGATGATTAAAATTATCAATATCACTGCAACAATTATTCCATAAGACACTGAAGAAAGAGGAATCACAATGCAGAAAAAGACATGTGAGTTGGGTCAATAGACATGCTCAGCTATTTCTATTCATCATCAGCAGAAGCACAATACGGCATATATTAGTGGAATCAGGCCTTGACGATTTCTCCTGCAGCAGCAGCATTAGCCTTTGCTTGCTTCTCCTTGTAGTCTCTGACCGCAGACTTGATAGCGTCCTCTGCAAGCATACTGCAATGTAGCTTAACGGGTGGCAAACTTATATGCTTTGCGATTTCCCTGCAAATTTAAGAATCCAAAAACAATGACTCATCCATCAAAATGTTCACCATATCACTAGATTTGAGATATTCCAAGAACTGAAACAGAGTTAGAGATAACAACCCTGACTATATATCTAAGAGACATGAATAGAAACATGCTTTTGGAAGATTGTTAAAGCGCACTTACGCGTTCTTGATGGTCAAAACTTCCTCTAAGGTTTTGCCCTTGATCCATTCAGAAGCTGAAACAAAACAAATATACAAATTAAAACCTGTTACATATCCCTGAACTGCTCTGATCATGAGCCTTTAAAACGAATAGATCAAATTTGAAAACCCTGATTCGAAGACATACCGACGGAAGAGGAGGCGATAGCAGAGCCACAGCCAAAGGTCTTGAATCGAGTGTCAATGATTTGACCTGAATCATCGACCTTAATCTGGAGGCTCATGAGGTCTCCGCAGGAAGGAGCTCCTACCAATCCAGTGCCAACGTTAGGGTCATTCCTGTTGAAGGATCCAACGTTTCTAGGGTTTTCAAAGTGGTCGATCACACTCTCGTGGTATAATCGACGCCCTAACCCTAGAGGAGACGCTCGTAACCCTAGGTAAGCCTTTCTCGACGTTTGCCTTAGCATCATCATAATCTCTCCTTCTCCTTTGCCGGAATCAAGGGCAGTTTTGATATATAAGCAATGTCGAGGGTACACGTGGACGGTGAAAATTATATAAGAAACCTTCTAATTGGAAATTAATAATGATCTTTAGTTTAACTTCCATGAAAATAAGTAATCAGAACCAGTAAAAGCTTTATATATTGAAAATGCTTGAGAAGCTTACAAATTTGATACCCAAAGTACAACGAAGTTAGCAATAATAAGCAAATCTTCTAGTCTCTTGTTCTAACCAACATAATAAGTATTGGAAAATATCTCGTCAAGAAAAAACAGAGCAAATTATTTGATATAAGCAACATAGAGAAAAACAATCCAAATCTTGAGAATTGGCAAAAACTCAAAGCTAAGCAAGAGCAGGCATGTCCTTGAGCCACTGGTCCAATGGCTTACCAATAGAGTAAACAATAAACCCTATCTTCCTCAGCTTCTCTGCATCAACAACATTTCTGCCATCGAAGACAAACGCTGGTTTCTGCATATTTTCAAAGATACGCTCATAGTCAAGCGTCTTAAACTCGTCCCACTCCGTTAACAAGCAGATTCCATGGGCATCTTTAGTGGCAGCATAGGCGTCCCAAACGACTGAGACTTGTTTCACAGTGGTTGGACTCATGGGTTGAAGGTGAATTGGATGGTCCCAGTCGAATTTGTTCATGGTTAAGTCTCTCTGGATCTGTTCTTCAGTGACTTGTGGATCATAGATGCTGATTCGAGCTTTGTCTCCTAACAAACCTTTGCAGACATCAATGGCTGGAGTCTCTCTAGTGTCTCCGGTATCTTTCTTGAAGGCGAACCCGAGGACAGCAATCTTTTTGTTGGAAACGGTGTTGAACATCGAGGACACAATGCGGTTTACAAACCGGGTTTTCTGGTAGTCATTGATCTTGATGACTTGTTTCCAGTATTCCGCTACTTCAGGGAGGCCGTTGCATTCACAGATGTAGACTAAGTTGAGGATATCTTTCTGGAAACAGGAGCCACCAAAGCCGACACTCGAATTCAAGAACTTGGGACCAATTCTAGAGTCTTTACCAACAGCATAGGAGACTTCAGAGACATTCGCACCAGTGGCTTCACAGAGAGCAGACATTGCATTGACAGATGAGATTCTTTGGGCTAAGAATGCGTTGGCAGCAAGCTTGGTGAGCTCAGCGGACCAGAGATTAGTGGTTAGGATTCTATCTTCTGGAACCCACTGAGCATAAACATCTTTCAAGGCTTTGACAGCTTTAAACCCTTCAGGTGTTTCACGACCACCGATGAGAACACGGTCAGGATAGAAAAGATCTTCAATGGCTGTTCCTTCAGCAAGGAACTCAGGGTTGGAGAGAATCTGGAACTTGATTCCTTTACTGTTGTGCATCAGAATCTTCTCGATGGCTTCAGCGGTTTTGACAGGGACAGTTGATTTCTCGACAACGATCTTGTCTGAAACCGAAACATCAGCAATCATCCGAGCTGCGCTTTCCCAGTAAGTCAAATCGGCAGCTTTACCAGCTCCAAGACCACGAGTCTTAGTCGGGGTATTGACAGAGACAAAGACGATATCAGCTTCTCTCACGTGTTTCTCAACATCAGTACTAAAGAAGAGGTTCTTGCCACGGCATTGCTTAACAACATCATCGAGGCCCGGCTCATAGATAGGAAGCTGATCACTGTTCCAAGCAGTGATCCGTGGAACAGAGATATCAACAACAGCAACTTCAACAGATGGACATTTCAAAGCAATGACAGCCATAGTTGGACCACCAACATAACCAGCTCCAATGCAGCAGATCTTCACCATTTTTTTTGCCTCTGCAATGAAATTAACCAAGAAAATTCAAAACTTTGATTTCAACATCTTAGATCCGAATCAAGAATTCGTGATCATGAACAATTCAGACCACAATTCAACGAGAGGGATCAATAAAATTGAGAATTCTATGAATCAAAATGTCAGATCTGGTTGAAACCGGTTTAAAGAGAGAGCTATAAGGATTAAGCGCTAATGAATGCAGAAATTAAGTGAATTTTTGGGGATCACTGACATAGATAGTGCATAAATTAAACCCAAATACGACTGCAATCATATCGTTTTTTGTTTTCTTCATATAAAAACACAGATGCATTCAAATCCAAATTTCTGTGAAAAGTAGAATAATCGAGAGAGATCCAAATCAACGGCAACAAACTAACGAAAATATCAGAATACGAGAGAGAGAAGCTAAATGTTGAGCGTACCTTATGGCGAGCTAAACAGTGGTGTGTGGAATTGCGGGGAAATTAATTGCAAATTGGCAATTGACGACGGTGAGCGCAGCACAAGTTTATATATATAGGTGCTGATTTTCCGGAAATGCTCTTTAAAGGTTTATTACTTTTCTTTCAGTTTTTTTTTTTTTTCTTCTTTTGCTAATTAAATTATAGTTTCAGTTAAATTTGCAATTAACTTTTTTTCATGATAATAATGGTAGGCTCACAAGATTTGGCCGTGCTACCATTTTTTATTTTTTTAGCCGCATGCTAACAAACTTTAGACGTAAATAAATTCGCCTAACAATTTATTAAATTTAATGTTGCTGTAGAATTTTTATTAATATAAGCTGTTTACGTGTTACATTGTTAGTTTAGTGAATGTGAGGTGGAGTCTGCAAAAGCAAACTTGAGATCAAAGATGCTTCAAAACCAAGCCACTTTTCTTTTCTTCTTTCTTGTTTTTCAAGTGTTTCTCAAGCTAGATACTTATAAAGTTTAATTCAACATAACCAACATGTTTGGTTTAAAAAAGAGCAATAATAAAATCCAAAACCGATGTCGTTTTGTATTATACCAATCATTCCTTATATGCTTGGGCCTGGGCCAACCCAAAATTCCAGCATTAAACCAAAATTTTGAAATTTAAGCAATTAATCCGTACTGATTACGAAAATCCAGTAAATGACTGAGCCGTTACATACATACATAGTCGAGAGCTTCCTCACAAGTCGCAACGGTCAGATTTTGCAACCCCCAATTCCCTCCTCTGCCTCTCTCTTCTTCTTCTTCTTCCTCTTCGAGAAGACAAAACCCTAATTTCTCACATTATTCTCATCGTCAATGGAATCGACGAATGCTAAACACGAGACTCTGGTGATGGAACCGATCAGTTTTCAATCCAAGGATCAAGAGATTTCGAAATTCTCCGAGAATTCTAACCCTAACGTCGTCTCACACTCGACTCCACTCGCCAAATCGTCTGCGCAGAAGAATCCGAAATCGAAGCCGGCGGTTTTCTCACCACGGAATCGGATCAGAGAGAGGAGGTTCGTGGTGGTGAAGAAGAATTCAAGGAAGGAGAAGAAGGATTCAGGGTCTGTGGATTGCAAATGTGGAGCTAAGACCAATTCCAACATGAAGAAATGTGTTTGCATTGCGTATGAAACTCTACGGGCTTCACAGGAAGAGTTCTTCAACAATCGAAGAGAATCTGAATCAGAAATTGGAGAATCCAGCCAGAATTTGGAGGATGGAGATGAACAAGTCGAAATTGGAGATTCTGATGAAATTAGGGTTTCTTCGATGAAGAGGAGAAGAGAAAAGGTATTGGAAGAAGCGAGAATGAGTCTACCTGAATTTGGTAAAGTGATGCATCTTGTTAAAGCTTTTGAGAAGCTTACTTGCTTCCCACTTTCAAAGGTAACATATAAGGAGGAAGAAGAAGATCAGATTAAGAAACCTTTGAAATGGGAATTGCCTGGAATGAGCCACCCTCCTAAGTGTCCAGAAACTGAGACTGATCAAGTCACTTGGAGTTCTTCATTTTCTCCATCTGATTTGGTCTTGACTGCTACAAATCTGGGACTAGAACAACCTCATGCCTCAGTTTCTTCATCATGGGACAATAGGTAGCCATTTTTTTTTAACTAAGATACTCAATTAGTAGATGTTGATCTTACTAATACTCGGTTCTAACTTGTCTGGTTTGGTGTTATTACAGTGTTTCAAGTCTGAACTCAAATGGTGGCCGGAGGGGCAGAAGAAATGTATGTGTATCTGATTTTGTTTATCCTCTTAGACTCTTACTGATTCCTCTCCTTGAATGGTTGATGTAGTGATACATTCTATTTATGACAGAGCTTGGATTCCTCTGCTTCAATGGGATGTAGAAGATCGAAGAAGAAGCAGATCAAAGTCACTTCTCTGAAGCCATTTAAACTCAGAACTGAGGTATAATAAACTTTGCAGGACATATTAAGTAAACATTTTCCAGATATTGTAGAATAGATTTGTGATTGTTGGTCTGTGTCTACGCAGGAACGGGGAAGAATGAAAGAAGAAGAGTTTGCAAAAAAGCTACACGAGATGACGCTGGAGAAAGAAAAAATGAGAATCCCCATAGCTCAAGGTCTTCCCTGGACAACTGATGAACCTGAGGTGAGTTTCACCCTTTGATCATTTATGGAACTGTTTGATTCTGATGTGCTCTCGGGGAAATTCACTTCAAGAATATAGAATTTGTAGCGTATCTTGATGTTTTATGGAGGAATGAAACATAAGCAGATGGTGCTAGAGTATGAAAGATTTGTTAAACACTCTAAATGTTTCTCTCTGTTTTCAGAATTTGGTTAAGCCTCATGTGAAAGATATCACAATACCAGTAGACTTGAAGCTCCATTCAGACATTCGAGCAGTAGAACGTGCAGAATTTGATTACCAGGTAAGAATTTGATTACCATCCTTGTTAGAATTTGAGACAAATCTTGCCCATAATTGAGAGTTGTGCATGTCTTAACTTTCTTCTAGTTATGACCTGAACTTGAATTTACACACACAAGCAGAGACGCAGAGTCTTAATTTTCATATATTCTAAGCTGATCCTCAGCATGCCTTCACCTTTTTTGTGGATCTTGTATGACAAAATCCAGCATTGTCTCATTGTATCAGGTTGCTGAGAAAATAAACCTAATCGAGCAATACAAAACAGAAAGAGAACGCCAACAAAAGGTAAGTAGATGAGAAGAAACTCTTTTTGCGTAATCAAGTATGAAATAAATGACAGAATAGTATGGATTCTTCAGCTAGCAGAAGAAGAAGAGATACGAAGGCTGAGGAAAGAGTTGGTCCCTAAGGCACAACCAATGCCTTACTTTGATCGACCATTCATTCCCAAAAGGTAAATAAAAACTCATGAATTCTGGTCTCTTGTTGATTGATTGATGAAACATTTTGAAGACTAGCAAAGAGATCTAAGTGTTGTTGTTTTCTTCCATTGTTGTTTAAAGGTCGAACAAGCACCCGACGATACCTCGAGATCCCAAGTTTAACATACCGCAACGCAAGAAGATAAGATGCTGCAGTACATCGTCTTGGAGTGACACTGGATCTTACATGAGCGACCTCTTGTACCAACAAGACCTCTAAAAAACCTTTGAATTCAATTTGCACATTTCTTCAATAATCTTGTTCCTTGTCCATATCATCTCTTCATAAACAACATCTTACCTTTTCCTTGAAGCAACCAATTAGTTGCAACTTACAAGATTTGGTTTCCTCGTACTTGTTCCATCTTTGTAATCATGAATCATCACAAACAAAAAAATGAAAAAAAGCAAGATATTTTCTGATGATTAATTCCAATATTCGATTACCCGGTTTAAACATGAGATTACAAGACCAATCGGATATTATTTCCAATATTTTGTTTCCCGGTTTAAACATGAGATTACAAGACAAACCCGAAATGGTGTCTAATACCCGGTTTGATTGCAACGTATTTAACTTTAATAATTCGAGTTTTAGTTAAAAATTAAAACAATTTGATTAAAAATTATTTGTAAAAAACCTTAAAACATAACTAAATGTTAAAATTAAAATACGTTAAAAACATGTTAAACTTATGATACCACAAGACTTACGAACCATCCTAAATTCGGTTGTATTTAAATTTAACGCTTAGAAATTTCAAAACATTTTTAAAATACAAAAGAAATATTTTTCAAAATCAAAACAATTTAAGACCTAAAAACATAACTAAGTGTTTTCGAACTCTGTCTTTTCTTAATTAATTGCTGAGTTTAATTAAGCGCAAAATTTATTTTAAATTTTATTGAGAATCATATTATTATTTTAAAAAATTTAAATTTTAGTGAAAATTATTATTATTAGTTAAAATCACTATTAATTTTTAAAAATGAGTTTAAGTGTTAAATCTATATTACGTGAAAACCTGCCGAACTTCGAACACCAAAGCTTACGGACCAACTAAGGAGAGGATGCCTAGGCGCTGTTAGTTTTCGATGTTTTTAAAATTGAACACTTAAACTCATTTTTAAAAAGTAATAGTGAAATTAAAATAGTTTTAGTTAAAAATTATTAATTATTTTCTTAAAGTTTAAGTTTTAAATTTGTATTAAATTTTAGTTAAAATCACTATTAATTTTTAAAAATGAGTTTAAGTGTTAAATCTATATTACGTGAAAACCTGCCGAACTTCAAACACCAAAGCTTACGGACCAACTAAGGACAGGATGCCTAAGCGGCTAAGCGTGGTTAGTTATCGACGTTTTTAAAATTGAACACTTAAACTAACTTTTAAAAAGTAA